CTGGAAGGGGAAGGAACATGAGCGAGGGCTGTTCCAGTTGAATAGCATAAACATAATGAGCCCATTTGTAATTTGAAAAATGTCATATTAGCAAAGCTTTCCTTCTGTCCTCTGTCTTTTCCTGAAGCAACTTGTATTTTCTACTGTTTCTTGTAAAAGCAAACTGCCGTGTTGCATGCGATGTTGACAGAAGATATCAGTGAGCAGTACCAGGCACCGCATCTACCTACCTATTTACACCATTCCAGTCCTACAACAGGTCATGTCAAGAAGAAGAATCTTACCCATAGTTATTTCTTCATCCCTTGACAAAATCTGTTTAGCTTCTTAGTGTGCACTTCTTTCATCTCCTTTTTCCTATCAAAACACACTTCAAAACTCCAGCTGTATTTTTAGATTCTTTTTGGACCCCCCACAGTCTTGTAAACCATATTTCCTCACCAGGAGAGCACTGTTCCTGCAGGTGAAAGCCTTCTTTCATGCAGCATTCCATTAGGCATTGTGAAATCTTCAGGTGTTCCAGCTTTCTTATAGCTCGTGACCTAGAGTCCTGTTGATGTAAACTGTCAGAACTCCCATAATCTGTAAGATGTGTGCCTCTCTCTCCATTGCTGGTGCTGTACACTAACAGGTCATCTGGCAGTACAAATGTGTTTGTGTGCAGTAAATCCCTTGGAAGGAATCCAATTGGACAGCAATGCAGGACAAATTTTCTGCCATATTAGCCAAAGTATATGAGACAGAATTTAGCACATTGGGCTACATCATATTGCCTGGTACCTGGCTTGTTTTGTATCATGCACCCACCTATTAGCTGAGTGCTTTACACAATGCTGGCTTTGTAGCCTTGCAAGAATGTGTGTGGTAGATCCCTTGGAAGGAAGTTTTAGCCACTACCTGGGAAACTTCAGAGAAGCATCAAACCCAGTGTCAATATGTCATTTATATACTCCCACTGACCAGCCACTAAAACGGCAAAAAACAGGAAAAAACATTTCTATCTCCTTGTTTTCTGCCCATGATCAGCCTGGAGGAACAAGCAGCAAACAGTGGTAAAAAGGCTTCACTTTGTTACATGAAATTTTGTTCCCACTGCAGAAATTCAGCTTGCCCTTTCTGTGCATGTATCTGCTAATCTGTTTCAGGCTTGTTCCAGCTGCATCAGCCAGAGGAAGTCCAGCAGAAGGTGTATAAAGTACCTGGGGCAGGTAGTGCTCTCTGGCACACTAAGGCTGGGGAGTGAGCATGGTGAGCACTCCTTGCCAAGGTGGCCAGGTAGGGGAGCTGTGGCTGTGGCAGTCTGGGAACAGAAGTACAAGGATAGAAGTGATGGGAGTGGAGAGCCTGAGAGACTCTGCTTGGCACAGCACCAGGCACTTGGCAGAACACCCAGAAACAATCCAAGACAAAATAGAACTATGCCAAATCCCCAAATCAATGAAGGACCACTGAGCAAAGCTTTTATACCTGGAGTAGTGGCATGCATACTTTGTAGGGGCATCTTCTTGTGGCTACTGACTTGGATAGTCGGGAAGTATGGGGAGCATCATCCTGCTTCCTCACGGTCACTTCTGTCATGGTATTCGTCTTCTTTCTTTCCACAGGAAGATTCAGATCGTCCTTCAACTTTGGGAGTTCCAAATGCTGCCCTGGAAGATCCCTACTTCCTGAATTTAAGAATTATTTATGCATCTTATTTTAAGAAGTGCTAACCTTCTTCATGGCATGAAACAGAATAATCCATTATTGACAGTCCTCCTGTGAGCCTAGCTTAGAACCTGTGCACTGTGTTGGTTTAAGTCCCTAAGGTCTCTGTCAAATTTTGTGGCAAACTGCATCTTTCCTCCAATTTCCTTACTGTCCCAAGCATGGGAATTCCCTCCTCCCAAAATCAAACAGCTCTCGTACCTCTGTCTCATAAGATGGTGGTGGACTGTGTCTGAGGAAAATTATCTTTTATCAGAAGGATGAAGAAAATCATCAGATTTGCATTCTTCCCCATGATCTACTGCTGTATCAACCCCAGCTATAGCTTTGGGTCAGATTTGAGCTGATCAGCAGGTCAGTGCTTTTGTTTGTAATGGTGGCTGTCGCATTGCATTTTGAAGTAGTTTCAATTGAAGTCATTTGGTAGGAAGTTAACAAAACCCCAAATCTGGTAAATTCTTAATTGAGAAGGTGCCAGCTCTGAATCTCCTTAAAAAAAATAAAAGAGAAGTGATATTCAGGCTCCTAAGCCACAGCTTACTGATGAGGGGAAAAAGACAATAAACCGTGGATGAGACTGAAATACCAACTGTGGAGAATGCTGGGGTACCAGCTGGGGTCACAGTGATAAAGGTACTACTGCTGACACCTCTGGGGAACTTTTTATCAGTCAGGTCAGCATTTGATGCCCTGCTGTCATGTTTTTGAGGATGTTAACTATCCAACCATTTCTACCTTTGTGGAACCAAGGTCTAGACATTTTGATTTCACAGAACTAGGGCCAAAGCAGTCTGTTTGAAGCTCTAAATCTCCATGTTATACCTAGTATTGTTTTCTGCCTGCCCCTGCACACTATAAAAGGGACTGAGCATGTTAATTGCCTAATTGCCTGACTGCATGTGTCATTAGCTAACAGGGTAGTTACAACATCTATTGTTAATTAATAGTATTTTCACTAGCTGAAAAACAGGTTGTGTAAGTTTGTGGGCTTCCCCCTCCCAACTCCCCCCCCCAAAAAAGTTTAGATTTCAGTGCTCCTGAATTGATTTCATAGGTTTTAATACATATATTCTTGTGTAACTGACTATATGACCCTTCAGATGCCATAGGTACGTATGCATGAGCGTAAATTAGCTCTTCCTATGAAGTGAAAATGTATACAGACAGCCTGCTGGCAAAAAAAAAAAAAAAAAAAAAAACAACAACAAAAACAGAAAAAAAAAAAAAAGCACAGAAAGCTACTAATGTGAGAGTTTATTTAGCTAATAATGATTTCTATAAATAGGAATACAGTGAATACATTTCTCATCCATCTACTACCTCCGATATCTCCTCGGGAACATCCCTTAAAGGAATTGTGCAAGTATTTTAAGTCCAGCAGCTTTAGACAACAGCACACTAAATTAGATGAAGTCTTAGAGGAAGATCTGAGAATTAACAAACTGTGGACTGCTCCACTTTTCCTATTGGTAGGAAGAACAGAGGGATCCCACATTTATACAGGTAAAAAAATACAACTGATGCACATTTTAGTGAAATGTATTTGTGTTTGAGATCTTAAATACTAAACTGGCAAGCATTACATATGTAGGAACACACCATGTAAAAGTTTCCCTTATGACAAGGTTATCTTCTAAGGCTCACTATGAGGATCCATCACTAAACACAGGGGGTTTTTTGTTCCTCTGTTTGAGGTGAATCACACTGAGGGACGTGCTGATTGATCTGAGACGCTTCAGTTTCTCTCAGCTCTCGGATGCCTGTTTCTCAGCACTTCGTTCTGTTTTCCCTATCTCTTCTTTTTTTCCCTATCATTCACATGTTTCCCTCTGCACAAACAGGAAGACACAGGTGCAGCCTATGGTTGCTCAGCTGATGCTTTCTCAGCATCACTTTACAGAGAGAACTCAGCCTTCATTTTTTTACTCTACTCTCACAGCAGAACAGATCTCTCAAATAAAACAGAATTTTAGAAGAAGCTGAAACAGAAGCTTTCAACCTAGGCATGGGAAAACCTTATGTAACTCCTTATGTAACAGGATGTGGAGTACTTTCTCATTATTAACTTCAGAGTTGCTCATGCTCCCCTGGCTCCCAACACCTGCCTTGTTTCCTCCCGGCTCTGGCATGAAGAAAAGGGGCTTTTTGGCCTGACCCCCGAGGGCAGCGTACTGCGGATGCTATTTCTGAAAGCTGCTCCTCCAATTTATTGTTGTATGAGGAAATAAAACAGGTGGAGAACGGCGCTTTCTCTCTACTCTGTCTCCTTTCCTACAACATCTTACAAAAATAATAATCGGAAAGGCCACCGAGCAACTTCCTGCTCTCTGATCTACGCCAGATGCGCGCAGCCGATAATTCCTCCTCGCACAATCTGCGTGCTGTCCGTTCCAGGGCCCAGCGCCGCACTTCAGCACGAGCCGCGCTTCCCCAGAGCCGCCATGCAGGGACGGCCGAGGCCCCGCGCCGTTTCCTCGTGACCCCGTCCGCTCCGCGAGAGTATTCTGAAAGAAAATAAGAAAGACTGAAGCGCTCCGCTCTCACAGAGGCACGGCTGCTGCGTGCTACGCCGCCCAGTTCAGGCGCCGCACGGCTTTCCCCCATTCCGGTCCAGACTGCCCGCACGGCCACGGTAATCAGTGACAGGACGCGAATCGCCCCCGGCACCGCTCCCCGCCGCTCCGGCCCGGCATGCCCCACGCGCCCACCCGGCGGCGGAAGCCGGAAGCGCGGTGGCGGAAGCGGGGCTCAGCTGGCGGGGGGGTGTCGCAGGTGAAGCTGGGAAGCGCGGAGCCATCTTGGTGCCCGCGCCGGGCAGG